TCTGTCTCTAGGCAGTTGACTATTCTAGACATTTCCTATAAATGTAGTGTTTGTCGTTTTGTGTCTGGCTTATTTCACTTAGCATAATGTTTTCAAAGTTTATCCATGTAGTAGCAAGTGTCAGAACTTCATTCCTTTTTAATGTTGAATAATATTCCATTGTATATATATACCACGTTTTGTTAATCCATTCTTCTGTTGATGGACACTTGGATTGTTTCTACCTTTTGTGAGTAATGCTGCAGTGAACATTGGTATACAAGTATCTGTCTGAGTCTCTGCTTTCTTGGCCAGTGTTTTTAAACTTCAAGTGGGTAAGGAGGAGGGACACATTAGTAATCTCCAGAACCATGAAAAGAAATTCAAAGTGATCGACAAGACCAGAGTTCTTGAGTCATCAATGATCTTGACAGTGTGTTGTTAGTTTCAACACTCTTTTGTCACTGCTGTTCTGTTTTCTTTCTTATTAACCTCCCCCTACTCCCTTTATTTTCTTCTACCTATCTTTTGCTGTTATAACTCCCTGGTCAGATTTCTGTGAAACTAGCACATTATAATCCTGTTAAGTACTAGGAATATCTTTAGGCATTTATTTATTTTATAACTTTCAATCTTCCATGTAGATGAGAAATAAGCTGCTGCTTTTTACTAATTAAAAATATTTTTTAGTCTGGTGAATGAAAGAAATTGAGAATTAATAATGCTCAATTCACTTATGGTTCTTGAAAAGTCAGATTTTTATTTTACTTTAATATCTTTAATTGGTGTTGTGGATTGAATTGTGTTCCCAAAAAATGAGTGTTGTAAATCCTAACGCCTGTTTCTGTGGCTATAATCCCATTTGGGAATGGGTTTTCTTTGCTATGTTAAGAGGCCACATCAGCGTAGGATGTGTTTTAAACCTATCACCTTTGAGACATAAAAAGAGCAGATTAGGACAAGCAAGGAAGCAGAGATGGGGAAGATAGATGCCAAACCATGTGAAGATCACAAAGGAACCAAGGAACAAGGACCTTCCACCAGAGCCAACAAAGAGAGAGAGCCTTCCCCTAGAGCTGGCACCCTGAATTTGGACTTCTAGCCTCTTAAACCATCAGAAAATAAATTTCTGTTTGTAAACCCACCTACTTATGGTATTTCTGTTATAGCAGCACTAGATAACTAAAACAATTGTAAAATCTGTAGTGTAAATTAAAAAAAAATTTAATTTTAGTTAAAAATATATAACACAAAACTTGTCACTCTAAACACTTCTAAGTGTACAATTCAGTGGCATTGTTTTACATTCACAGTGTTGTGCCACCATCTACCTCCAGAAGATTTTCGTGTGTGTTTTAAAATTTTTATTGTAGTGAAATATATGTAACAAAATATTTCAACCATTTTATGTGTACAATTCAGTGACATTAATTACATTCAACATATGTTGTGCAACAAAGGAACCCTGGTGGTGCAGTGGTTAAGCGCTTGGCTGCTAACCAAATGATTGGCTGTTCGAACCCATCAGCAGCTCCATGGGAGGAAAGACCTGGCAATCTGTTCCTGTAAAGATTACAGACTAGGTGACCTATCAGGTAGTTCTGTTCTGTCCTATAGAGTCATACGAGTTGGAAAAATCAGCTAGATGGTACACAACAACAACAGTAGTTGTGCAACAATCACCACTATCCTTTTCCAAGTTTTTTCATTGCCCGTAACAAAAACTCGGTATCCCTTAGCAATACTCCTGCCCGCTCCCCTCCACTAACCTCTTCCCACCCGCCCCTGGTAACCACTGATGAACTTTGGTCTTTATGCATTTGCCTATTCTGGATATTTCATAGAAGTGGGATCATAATTGTCCTTTTGTGTCTGACATTTCACTCAGTGTGTTTTCAAGGTTCACCCGTGTTGTAGCATGGATCAGAACGTCATTTCTCTTTTTGATTGAATAATATTCCATTGTATGGATAACGTGTTGTTTATCTATTTATAGGTTAATAGACATTTGGGTTGTTTTCACCTTTTGGCTATTGTGAATTATGCTGCTCTGAACATTGGTGTACAATTATCTTTTAGTCCACCTACAAAGCTTTTTCATCACCCTAAATAGAAACTCAGTATCCATTAAGCAATAGCTCACCATTTCTCCCTCTCCCAGCTGCTTTTTAAACATCAGTCTACTTTTGTCTCTGTTCATTTGCGTAGAGACTGCATATAAATGAGACAATATTTGTCATTTTACGTTTGATTTATTTCAGTTATCACAATGTTGTAAAGGTTCATATGTGTCATAGCATGTATCCAAACTTCATTTCTCTTTATGGCTGAATATTGTTCCCTGTGTATATAGTAATTGGAGTCCCTGGGTGGTATAAACAATTAAGCCCTCAACTACTAGCTGAAAAGCTGGCAGTTCAAACTTACCCAGAGGTGGCTCAGAAGACATACCTGGTGCTCTGCTTCTGAAAGGTCACACCCTGGAAAACTCAATGGAGCACAGTTCTGCTCTGCACACGTGGGGTCTCCATGAGTCAGAATCAACTCAACGGCAGCTAATAACAGCAATTATAGTGATTATTGATAAGGAAAGACATCTGCCATTTTGCTATTTGTTTTCTATGTGTCTTAAACCTTTTTTGTCCCTCATTTCCTCCCATATTACCTTCTTTTGTGTTTATTTAATTTTTTGTAGTGAACCATTTTGATGCTCTTCTCACTTGTGTAAATTTTTAAGATATTTTCCTTGTGGTTATCCTGAGTATTACACTTAACATCCTAAATTTTTAACAGTCTAGTTTGAATCAATACCAGCTTAACTTCAGTAGCATACAGTTCTGTTCCTATACAACTCCAGCCCTCCCCCCGTCTTTATACATTGTGTGCCCAATAACATAAATTTATATTTTTTAAAATACATTAGTCTTTCGTATCATGTGGGACATAACAAACAGAGTTGCAAATCAAAGCTGGCCATTGTATTTATCCATGAAATTACCTTTACTGGAGATCTTTATTTCTTTATACAGCTTTGAGTTACTATCTTATGTCCTTTCTGTCAACCTAAAAGGACTCCATTTAGCATGACTACCTCCCTTTTTTGTAGGGAAGGTCTGGTGGTAATGAACTCCCTCAGCTTTTGTTTCTCTGGAAATGTCTTAATTCCACCCTCATTTTTTTAAGGACAGTTTTGCCAGCTACATAATTCTTGGTTTACAGTTTTTTTCTTTCTTTAAATATGTCATCCCACTGCCTCTTGGCCTCCATGGTTTCTAAGGAGAAATCAACATTTAATGATATTGAGATCCCTTGTGTGTTATGATTTGCTTTTCGCATGCTGCTTTCAAGATTTTCTCTTTCTGTTTGTTTTTTGATAGTTTGATTATAAAGTGTTTCAGTGTTGCTCTCTCTGGGTTTTTCCTGCTTGAATTTTTTTAGCTTCTTGGATGTGTAGATTGATGTCTTTTGCCAAGTTTGGGAAATTTTCGGCCATTATTTCTTCATATGTTCTTTCTGCCCCTTTCTCTATCTTTTCTCCCTGTCTTAGTTATGTAGTCCTTCTATAACAGAAATGCCACAAGTAGATGGCTTTAACAAAGAGAGATTTCTTCTTTCACAGTCTAGGAGGCTAGAAGTCTAAATTCAGGGTGCCAGCTCCAGGGGAAGGCTTCCTCTCTCTGTTAACTCTGGAGGAAGGTCCTTGTCATCAGTCTCCACCTAGTCTAGGAGCTTCTCAGCTCCTCCAAAGGACGCACTCTGCTCCTGGCACTACTTTCTTGGGGGTATGAAGTCCCTCTCCTCTCTCCTCGCTTCTCTTTTTGTATATTTCAAAAGAGATTGACTCAAGATGCAGCCTAATCATGTAGATTGAGTCCTGCCTTATTAACATAACCGCCTTATTAACATCATAAAGGTTAGGATTTACAACACATAGGATAGTCACATCAGATCACAAAATGGTGGACAACCACACAATATTGGGAATCATGGCCTAGCCAAGTTGACACACATTTTTGGGGTACATAATTCAATTCATAACACTCCCTTTGGGATTCCCATAATGTGTATGTTGACGCACTTGATGGCGTTTCACAAGTCCCTTAGTCTCTGTTCATTTTTGTTTTACTTTTTTCTTTCTGTTTCTCAGGCTACATCATTTCAATTGTCTTACCTTCAAGTTTGCTGATTCCTCTGCCAGCTCAAATATGCTGTTGAGCCCCTCTAGTGAATTTTTCATTTTGGTTATTGTACTTTTTGGCTCCAGAATTTCTACTTGGTTCCTTTTTACAATTTCTCTTTACTGATGTTCTCATTTTGTTCATAGATTGTTTACCTGATTTCCTTTAGTTCTGTGGGTTTTCTTTTAGCTCTTTGAGCATATTTAAGACAATTATTTTAAAGTCCTTATCTAGCAAGTCCAGTGTTTTGGCTTTCTCAGGGATGGTTTCTATCATTTTATTTTGTTCCTTTGAATGGGCCATCCTTCCCTGTTTCTCTGTATGCTTTGTGATTTTTTTTTTTTTGAACATGACATTTGAGTAATATAATGTGGTAACTCTGGAAATCAGATTCTCTTCCTTCCTCAGGGCTTGTTGACTTCTCTCTCTCTGTCTCTTTTAATTGTTGAAGGTTCTAATAGTCCATTGGTTTAGAGACTTTTCCAAACTGTTTTTGCAAAGACCAGGTTACTTGACATGTGTGTTCACTAAAGTCTCAATAAAAATAAAAAACACCTCTTCAGTCTTTGAAGATCAGCTCTGTGCTGGGGCACTTCATCAACACTTCACCAGGCTTACGCTCTGGTGCAAATTTTTATCAACCTCATTTCTAGTGTAAGTAGCTCTGAGACTTTGACTTGAGGAAGTTAAATATATCTATTTTTGACCTGTTTTGGTATTATCAAATAATGAGTCACACTTTTTCTATGAAAGGCAATGGCAGTATGAAACTGTGATTTTGGAATAAATGTCAGCTCCAGTGTTATCATGGACATCTCTCTGATCTTTTTCTCATTGCCCTAGATTTTACTGTGAGCAGAGAGTACTACAGAAGGTCTTCAGAGAATGGAAAGAAGAATGGTGGATTTCCCATCGAGAGTGGAAACTCTGTGTTCGGGCTGACTGTCACTACAGGTCAGATCTCATGTTATATTACTTTAATTTTACTGTAGACGATATCAAATAATTCCTTGTTGTCGTGTTTCTATAGGAGCCCTGGTGGCGCAATGGTTAAGCACTCGTCTGCTAACCAAAAAGTCAGTGGTTCGAACCCACCAGCCACTCTGTGGGAGAAAGATGTGACAGTCTACTTCCAAAAAGATTTACAGCCTTGGAAGCCCTATGGGGCAGTTCTACTCTATCCTAGTGTTGCTATGAGTTGGAATCAACTCAACAGCAATGGGTTTTTTCTTGGTTTGTCATGTTTCTTGTCAAAAAGCAAAGTTTTGAATCATTTCTTGTCTTGCTTCAAATCCTTTTTTGAATAAGCACAATCAAAGTCCTAAATTAAACCTGTGTATGCGTGTCACACACACACACACACACACACACACACACACACACACACACACACACACACACACACACACACACACACACACACACACACAGAAACACCTCTCAATTCAGGTAACCATTTTGTGTTGATTATGCTAATGATTTGAATGGGATTTTCTTACTAATTCTCATTTTTATATAATTTCTAATTTTGAGAGTATTCTGTTTTTTAAATAATAAATTGTTTTAATTTATGTTGACTGTGGAAGAAAATATATGACCAACGTATTTCATTAAGGAAACAGAAAAATCCCCTGGTCTTTGACATTTGTGTTGCCAAGGATAAGTGGAGAAAAAAGTCAAAATTAGGAATTATATCAAATACATGTTTTTAGGCCTCTTTTTATTTTTCTTTTACTTACATTCATTTACTTAATATCTGTACTTAATTGACTTAATATCTTATACATTGTGTCTTTAAAATGGTATTAACTCTCATTTATAGCTACTTCTCTATTTAGGTTGACTTTGGGGCAGAAATTTTGGGTATTTCAGATAAAGTATAGAAGTATTGTTGTTGATATTAGTTAGCTTCTGTTGAGTTGACCCCCAACTCATGGTGATCACATGTACAACGGAACAAACTACACCATCCCCATGAATGGTTGCATATTGGGCCGCTGTGATTCATAGGACTTTCATTGGCTGATTTTTTAGAAGTAGATCACCAGGTCTTTCTTCGTCTGTCTTAGTTTGGAAGCTCTGCTGAAACCTGTTCAGCATCATAACAACATGCAAACCTCCACTGACAAGACAGATGGTGACTGTGCATGAGGTGCATTGGCCAGGAATCGAACCTGGGTCCTGCATGGAAGGCAAGAATTCTACCACTGAACCAGTACTACCCTCATAGAAGCATTAGATAGTTCTGGAAAGCTGATAGAGTATGAAATTAAGTCTTAGGAAGTGGGGTACTGAAAATATGCAGTGAAGGTCTTAATGTGTATGGTGTATGTACCAGGAAGGAGAAGGAAAATAAAGTTTTAGAAAGTGTCTTTGACCATGTTCCAGCACAAAGGAGAAGTAAGATGATGTGAATGACTAGGGTGATTAAGGTGTTATTCCAAATGTCATGGCTTTGTGGATGCTGAAGGTGAAGTTATTCTTAGAGAAGTGGAACCTTTTCTTTCTCAGTGACACTTTGAGATGTGGAGAATGGCTGTCAAGGAGAATAAGTTTCACCATGATTGTAGGAAATGGAATTTTAACTTAGGGTGCTGAAATGACTTTTTCATGTTAGAAGCTTCCATGTTAATTTCTCCTACGTGCAGAACTGACTTGTTGTGTTGGATTATAAGTTGTTTTGTTGTTTTGTTTGAAAGACACACCCTTTGCTTTTGGCTCCTCAGATATTACTTGTACAGTCTGATGTTCCAGACCTGGAAGACTTACGTGCATCAGCAGCAGGAGATGAGGAACAAGTACATGAGAGCCAAGGATTATGGTGAGAAAAGGAGGTACCCCTCTAGAGAAGATGCCCAAATGTACTTTTGCAGAAGCCCTTGAGAGGGACAAGCACATTGTTTCTTAGAGAGAATAACTCTAGACCTAAGGGAAGATTTGTTTAGTTCCTTTTCATATTTTCCAGAATGCGTGACTCTCTGAGTGGGGACTCCTGTGTGGTCACATCTCTATGGTTTTCTCTCTATGGCATGGTGCTGGCACTTAAAGCTCGTCAATCCATGATTTACATGAACTGTCTGTTCCTACCCTGGGGGCTCAGCGAGCTGGTCAGGTTTCTCCCTTGGCACCTGGTGCTGCCATTTATCTTTTTTTTTTTTTTTTTTTAACATTTTATTGTGCTGTAGGTAAAAGTTTACAGAGCAAATTAGTTTCTCGTTTAAAAATTTCTACACAACCCATCCAAACTACCTGAGGGACGGAATTTCTGTGCTGAGGACTGCGGGGACCATGGTCTCAGGGAACATCTAGCTCAATTGACATAACATAGTTTATAAAGAAAATGTTCTACATTCTACTTTGGTGTGTAGGGTCTGGGGTCTTAAAAGCCTTTGAGTGGCCGTCTAAGGTACTTCACTGGTCTCACCCCTTTGGGAGCAAGGGAGAATGAAGAAAACTAAAGATACAAGGGAAAGATTAGTCCAAAGGACTAATGGACCACATCTACCACAGCTTCCACCAGACTGAGTCCAATACTACTAGATGGTGCCCGGCTACCATTACTGACTGCTCTGACAGGGATCACAATAGAGGGTCCCGGACAGAGCTGGAGAAAAATGTAGAACAAAATTCTAACTCACAAAAAGATACCAGACTTACTAGCCTAACAGAGACTGGAAAAATCCGGAGAGTATGGCTCCTGGATCCCCTTTTAGCTTAGTAATGAAGTCACTCCTGAGGTTCACCCTTCAGCCAAAGATTAAACAGGCCCATAAAACAAAAGAAGACTAAAGGGGCATGCCAGCCCAGGGGCAAGGACTAGAAGGCAGGAGGGGGCAGTAAAGCTGGTAATAGGGAACCCAAGGTCGAGAAGGGAGAGTGTTGACACGTCGTGGGGTTGGTAACCAATGTCTCAAAACAACATGTGTATTAATTGTTTAATGAGAAGCTAGTTTGTTCTGTAAACCTTCATCTAAAGAACAATTTAAAAAATAATACATAAATTGTTAAGTGACATTGGTTGCAATCCCTGTAATGTGTGAACACTCTCCCCCTTTCCATCCTGTGTTCCCTGTTTCCATTCATCTGGTTTTCCTGCCCCTTTCTGCCTTCTCATCTTTGTTTTTGGGCAGGTGTTGCATTGCCATTTATCTTGCTATCATGTGGCAAATTGAAGTGAGACTCTGGAGCATTGCTACAGTGCTCACTTCTAAGCTGTTTTTCCCAGGGTGCCCCTCAGTAATCCTGTAGCCAGTTTCTCTGTGGTCTTTTCTCTGGTCAGTGTCTGGTTTCTCTGTGAGTTAAGCCAGAAGCCTGTGTGGGGAGTCGAAGGGAAAAAGTATCAAGTTTTGAAATGATAATGCAGCCTGCATTAGCAGCTGCCTTGTAGACATTCCACATGAATGTCCTGCAGGCGCCTCAAACACTGCAGGTCACAAATACAGCTTGTCAGCTTCCCAGCTATTTAGACCTGCTCTTCCTCCTGCTTTTCTTATCTAAGTGAGAAACCTTATTTAGGAATAGCTTGTCCATTCCTCGTGCCTCATATCATGCAGTTATCTAAGATGGCCCTCTGAAGTATTACTTGCAGGCATCTTTTTTTTAGTTCCACTGCCACGGCCTGAGGTTAATATTCATCTTTTCCCCAGGATGTTATAAGTATCTCTTTAATTGATTTCCCTGCATTTATTTTCTCTGTCTTCTCCTTGTACACATAGCTGTAAGAGTGAGAAGCCATAGATAAAATCATCTCTCTCCTTTGCATAAAAATTCTTTTGACTCCTCTTTAGTTACAGAATGACATCAACACTCTTTGGTATGGCATAAAAGGTCTTCACCTCTTCCCCCACCATGCCCTCCCACACACCCTACGCCCTAGACCCTGGCCACATTGCATGTGAATTTCCATATCTTTGCATCTGCAGTTCCTCTTTCAGGCCCATTTTAAATGTCATCTTTTTTTATGTAGCTTTTCCTGATCTCCAGCACAGTGGGCACTTCCTTCTCCTTTCTGTGTTCCTGAAGCTCTTACCCACACCTTTTAGTTATAGTACCAGACAAATTGTTTCCATAATTAGCTGATAACTAACTTTTTTATGTTGTTTAGTTTTAAATTTACATACAGTAAAATTCAGTGCTTTTGGTGTACAGTGCTGTGAGTTTTGACAAATGGCATAGAGTTATGTAACCACCACCACGATAAAGAGAGAACAATTCTGTGACACCCCAAAAGAATTCCCTTGTGTTAACCTTCTGTTGCACCCTCCCTTCATACTTCACCCCAGGTAACCACTAATCTGTTATCGGTCCCTATAGTTTTGCCTTTTCTAGAATGTCATATAAATGGGATCATACAGTGTAGCCTAGCCTTTTGACTCTGTTTTCTTAGCATAATGCGTTTGAGATTTATCCAATTTGCTGATATTCCTTTTTTATTGCTGAGTAGCATTTCATTGTATTGATATAGTACCACAGTGCGTTTATCCATTTACTGGTTGAAGGACATCTGGGTTGTTTCCAGTTTTAGACAATTGTGAATAATGCTGCTATAAATGTTTGTATGCAGGTTTCTGGGTGAACATTTCTCTTGGGTAGATTATCTAGGAGTGGGATTGCTGGATCACATAGTAGGTATATGTTTAACTGTATAAGAAACTGCCAAATTGTTTTCCAGCTTGGCTGTACCACTTTGCATTCCCACCAGCAATTTATGAGAGTTCCGCTTGCTCTGCATCCTCACTAGCACTGGGTATTACCATTAAAAAGAAAAAAAAAATTTTTTTTTTTTTTAGTAAGTTTAATAATAAATATGTAAAGGTATCTCATTGTGGTTTAAATTTGCGTTTCTCTAATGATTAATGATGTTGAATATTTTCTTATGCTTATTTCTCTGATGACATGTCTGTTCAAGATATTTGTCCTTTTAAAAGTTGGGTTATTCTTTTTGTTGAATTTTAAGTCTTTTAATATATTCTGATTGTAAGTCTTTTGTCAGATTTGCAAATATTTTCTCCCGATCTGTGGCTTGTCTTTTCATTCTCTAAACAGTGTCTTTTGCAAAGCAAGTTTTTAAATTTGATGAAGTCCAGTTTATCAGTTTCTTCTGTTATGGTTTGTGTTTTTGATGTTTTTGAGATTGACCAGTTCCAACAACTCCATGAGCCAGCAGCCTTCCACCTGACCTACTACATGTGAGTCAGAAGCCTCCAGCCTGACACCTGACTCTGTCTAACCCAAGGTCACAAAGATTTTCTCCTGTATTTTCTTCTAAAAGTTCTGTAGTTTTACATATTGATCTTTATAGGCTGCAAAGTCAGTGTTAAGCTTGTTTATTAATGCTAGGAGCTTTTTTTGTAGATTCCATGTGATTCTATGTAGACAGTCAAGGTGTGTGTGAATAGTGACAGCTTTATTTCTTACTTTCCAAATTCTTTTTATTGTTTTATTGCATTATCTAGGGCTTCTAGTATGATATTAAATAGGAGTCGTGAGAGTGAACATCCTTCTCTTGTTACTGATCTTAGGGGATATAATGGTTAATGTTATGTGTCAACTTGGCTAGGCCATGATTTTCAGTGGTTTTGCAGATATTATATAATCATCCTCCATTTTGTGATCTGATGTGAGCAGCCAGTCAGTTGAAAGGGGAGTTTCCTTGGGGTGTGGCCTGCATTCATTATATATGGATGTTCTGGCAAAGCTCTCTCTCTATCCTGCATCTGACTCGTTATCCTCTGACTTCCGGTTCTTGGGATGTGAGCCAGCAGCCTGCTGCCTGACCACGAATTTTGAGATTTGCCAGTTCCAGGAACCCCATGAGCCAGCAACCTTCCACCTGACCTACCGTTTTTAGGTTCATTAGCCCCTGCAACCATGTGAGTCAGGAGAAGCCTCCAGCCTGATACTTGACCCATGGATTTGGGACTTGCCAGTCTCACAATTGTATAAGCCAGTCCCTCGAAATAAATCTCTCTCTCTATTTATATATACACTTCATTGGTTTTGCTGTCCTAGAGAACCCAGCCTTAGACATTTGGTACTGAGAATGGTTGTAGAGGAACAAAATCATAAAAATGAGTTTTCTGAATTGATTCTCAAGTCTGGCTAGTCTTAAAGGCGCTGATGACTCTGCCTCCAGTAGTAAGGAGGGCACTACTAATCCATGGCGTGAGGTGGCAATAGAAATACGCAGACTGTCACTACCATTGGATCAAACATTTGTGAGAGACAAGGCTCTGGGTGATTGCATGTTTGATTTAAAAAAAAAAAAAAAACTGAACCCATTGCTATTGAGTCGTTTCAGACTCATAGCGACCCTGTAGGACAGAGTAGAACTTCCTGGTAGGGTTTCCAAGGCTGTAATCTTTATGGAAGCCAACTGCCATATCTTTCTCCCACAGAGTGGCTGCTGGCTTTGAACTGCTGACCATTTGGTTAGCAGCTGAGCACTTAACCACTGCACCACCAGGGATGCTTGCATATTTGGTACTTTTCTGCAATTTTGTCAGAATGAGAAGTATAAGGAAGCCAAATGATTGATCCTGCTTTCGCTAGGCAAAGTGGTAAAAGAAAGGGATGAACTTGGTGCTTCAGAGTCACAATTCAAGTGCCACATACAAGACTGAAAGTTGCCACTTGTGCCCTAAAAGAAACCTTTATTTCTTGTAGTAACAGGACTGATATTGTTGAAACCCAAACCCAGAATCTTATCATAAGAGTGGCTGAATTACTATGCCAGTTGAATTCTCAACCTCGAATTGTATCAGAACTAAAAATGAGGGCATTAATTGGGAAGAAATGGGAACCTGAAATGTGAGATGGGGA